CAGCAGTAGTGCACAGCAGTATTGTACAGCAGTAGTGCACAGCAGTATTGTACAGCAGTAGTGCACAGCAGTAGTGCACAGCAGTAGTGTGCAGCAGTAGTGCACAGCAGTAGTGTACAGCAGTAGTGCACAGCAGTAGTAGTGCAGCAGTAGTGTACAGCAGTAGTGTGCAGCAGTAGTGCACAGCAGTAGTGTACAGCAGTAGTGCACAGCAGTATTGTACAGCAGTAGTGCACAGCAGTAGTGCACAGCAGTATTGTACAGCAGTAGTGCACAGCAGTATTGTACAGCAGTAGTGTACAGCACTATTGTACAGCAGTAGTAGTGTAGCAGTATCGCGCAGCAGTAGGGCGCAGCAGTAGTGTACAGCAGTACTGTGCAGCAGTAGTGTGCAGCAGTAGTGTACAGCAGTAGTGTGCAGCAGTAGTGTGCAGCAGTAGTGCACAGCAGTAGGGCGCAGCAGTAGTGTGCAGCAGTAGTGCACAGCAGTAGTGCACTGCAGTAGTGTACAGCAGTAGTGTACAGTAGTAGAGCGCAGCAGTAGAGCGCAGCAGTAGAGCGCAGCAGTTTTGCGCAGCAGTAGTGTACAGCAGTAGTGCACAGCAGTAGTGCACAGCACTATTGTACAGCAGTAGTGTACAGCAGTAGTGTACAGCACTATTGTACAGCAGTAGTGTACAGCAGTAGTGTACAGCAGTAGTGTACAGCAGTAGTGCACAGCACTATTGTACAGCAGTAGGGCACAGCACTATTGTACAGCAGTAGTGTACAGCAGTAGTGCACAGCAGTAGTGTACAGCAGTAGTGTACAGCACTATTGTACAGCAGTAGTGTACAGCAGTAGTGCACAGCAGTAGTGCACAGCAGTATTGTACAGCAGTAGTGCACAGCAGTATTGTACAGCAGTAGTGCACAGCAGTAGTAGTGCAGCAGTAGTGTGCAGCAGTAGTGCACAGCAGTATTGTACAGCAGTAGTGCACAGCAGTAGTGCACAGCAGTAGTGTGCAGCAGTAGTGCGTAGCAGTAGTAGTGTACAGCAGTAGTGTGCAGCAGTAGTGCACAGCACTATTGTACAGCAGTAGTGTACAGCAGTAGTGTACAGCAGTAGTGTACAGCACTATTGTACAGCAGTAGTGTACAGCAGTAGTGTACAGCAGTAGTGTACAGCAGTAGTGCACAGCACTATTGTACAGCAGTAGGGCACAGCACTATTGTACAGCAGTAGTGTACAGCAGTAGTGCACAGCAGTAGTGTACAGCAGTAGTGTACAGCACTATTGTACAGCAGTAGTGTACAGCAGTAGTGCACAGCAGTAGTGCACAGCAGTATTGTACAGCAGTAGTGCACAGCAGTATTGTACAGCAGTAGTGCACAGCAGTAGTAGTGCAGCAGTAGTGTGCAGCAGTAGTGCACAGCAGTATTGTACAGCAGTAGTGCACAGCAGTAGTGCACAGCAGTAGTGTGCAGCAGTAGTGCGTAGCAGTAGTAGTGTACAGCAGTAGTGTGCAGCAGTAGTGCACAGCACTATTGTACAGCAGTAGTGTACAGCAGTAGTGTACAGCAGTAGTGTACAGCAGTAGTGTACAGCAGTAGTAGTGCAGTGCGTGGAGCCGAGTCCCTCCCCCTCCGCCTCACGGTTTCATTTCCAAAGAGCACGTCCACGTAGGGCAGCAGTCGAGAGAGCTCGGCCCCGTAGTGCTGAGCCAGGAAAGGTGCAGAGAGGTTGAGGCAGAAGGGTTTGTTCTGCTTGGCGGCCAACGTGGCCACCGCCATCATCGAGTCCGGAGACACGGTCATGAAGAAGCCCTGAGGGAGACACGGGGAGAGAGAGACACGGGGGGGGGAGAGAGAGAGAGAGACAGGGAGAGACACGGGGAGTGAGAGTGAGACACGGGGAGAGAGAGAGAGACACGGGGAGAGAGAGAGAGACAGGGAGAGAGAGACACGGGGAGTGAGAGACACGGGGAGTGAGAGTGAGACACGGGGAGAGAGAGAGAGACACGGGGAGAGAGACACGGGGAGAGAGAGAGAGAGACAGGGAGAGAGAGACACGGGGAGTGAGAGTGAGACACGGGGAGAGAGAGTGAGACACGGGGAGAGAGAGACAGGGAGAGAGAGACACGGGGAGTGAGAGACAGGGAGAGACACGGGGAGTGAGAGTGAGACACGGGGAGTTGAAGAGAGACAAGGGGAGTTGGAGATAGAGAGATACACGGTCATGAAGAAGCCCTGAGGGAGACACAGGGAGAGAGACACGGGGAGAGAGAGACAGGAAGAGACATGGGGAGTGAGAGAGACACGGGGAGTGAGAGAGAGACACGGGGAGTGAGGGAGAAACACGGGGAGTGAGAGAGAGACACGGGGAGTGAGAGAGAGACACGGGGAGTGAGAGAGAGACACGGGGAGTGAGAGAGAGACACGGGGAGTGAGAGAGACACGGGGAGTGAGAGAGACACAGGGAGTGAGAGAGAGACACGGGGAGAGAGAGACACGGGGAGAGAGAGACACGGGGAGAGAAAGACACGGGGAGAGAGAGACACGGGGAGAGAGACACGGGGAAGAGGAGAGAGACACACGGGGAGAGAGAGACACGGGGAGGAGAGAGACACACGGGGAGGAGAGAGACACGGGGAGAGAGAGACACGGGGAGAGAGAGACACGGGGAGAGAGAGACACGGGGAAAGAGAGACACGGGGAGAGAGAGACACGGGGAGAGAGAGACACGGGGAGAGAGAGACACGGGGAGAGAGAGAGACACGGGGAGAGAGAGACACGGGGAGAGAGAGACACGGGGAGAGAGAGACACGGGGAGAGAGAGACACGGGGAGAGAGAGACACGGGGAGAGAGAGACACGGGGAGAGAGACACGGGGAGAGAGAGACACGGGGAGAGGGAGATACGGGGTGAGAGAGACACGGGGAGAGAGAGAGAGACACGGGGAGAGAGAGAGAGACACGGGGAGAGAGAGAGAGACACGGGGAGAGAGAGAGACACGGGGAGAGGGAGATACGGGGTGAGAAAGAGAGAGAGACACGGGGTGAGAGAGAGAGAGAGACACGGGGAGAGAGAGAGACACGGGGAGAGAAGAGAGACACACGGGGAGAGAGAGAGAGACACGGAGAGAGAGAGAGAGACACGGGGAGAGAGAGAGAGACAGGGCGAGAGAGAGAGAGAGGGGGAGAGAGAGAGACACGGGGAGAGAGAGATACGGGGAGAGAGAGAGACACGGGGAGAGAGAGAGAGACACGGGGAGAGAGAGACACGGGGAGAGAGAGACACGGGGAGAGAGAGAGACACGGGGAGAGAGAGAGACACGGGGTGAGAGAGAGACACGGGGAGAGAGAGAGACACGGGGAGAGAGAGAGACACGGGGAGAGAGCGACACTGCGACAAAGAGCAAATTACTCCAAGAGAAAGATTGATACAGAGAGAGAGACAGAGAAATCAGAGGCATATAGAGAAAGATACAGAGAAAGATATAGAGCTCTACATATATATAGAGAGAGGCGAGAAAGAGAGACGCATCTTGGTCCTGATCTTGTAAACGGCACCATCCTTGCTTGGGCACAGAAGAAGTTGGCAAGATCGTGACGCCTATTAGCCAGGAAAGGCACCCCCCTCGCCCTGTGTACGAAGCTACTTTTGTAAAAAGGCACCTCCAGTCTCGTCAAAATGAACCCCAAAAGCAGGAACATTGGGGTTGAGCCGCGGACACCCCAGGCACCACCGGTGGGGGGTCAGACCTTCCCTGGACACGGTGTAGACACGGTGTAGACACGGCGTAGACACGGCGTAGACACGGCGTAGACACGGCGTAGACACGGTGTAGACACGGTGTAGACAGGGCAGTAGACACGGTGTAGACACGGCAGTAGACACGGTGTAGACACGGCAGTAGACACGGCAGTAGACACGGTGTAGACACGGTGTAGACACGGTGTAGACACGGTGTAGACACGGCAGTAGACACGGTGTAGACACGGTGTAGACACGGTGTAGACACGGTGTAGACACGGTGTAGACACGGTGTAGACACGGTGTAGACACTGCAGTAGACACGGTGTAGACACGGTGTAGACACGGTGTAGACACGGTGTAGACACGGTGCAGACACGGTGCAGACACGGCAGTAGACACGGTGTAGACACGGTGTAGACACGGTGTAGACACGGTGTAGACACGGCAGTAGACACGGTGTAGACACGGTGTAGACACGTTGTAGACACGGTGTAGACACGGTGTAGACACGGCAGTAGACACGGTGTAGACAGGGTGTAGACACGGTGTAGACACGGTGTAGACACGGTGTAGACACAGCAGTAGACACGGTGTAGACACGGTGTAGACACGGCAGTAGACACGGTGTAGACACGGTGTAGACACGGCAGTAGACACGGTGTAGACACGGTGTAGACACGGCAGTAGACACGGTGTAGACACGGTGTAGACACGGTGTAGACACGGCAGTAGACACGGTGTAGACACGGTGTAGACACGGTGTAGACACGGTGTAGACACAGCAGTAGACACGGTGTAGACACGGTGTAGACACGGTGTAGACACGGTGTAGACACGGCAGTAGACACGGTGTAGACACGGTGTAGACACGGCAGTAGACACGGCAGTAGACACGGTGTAGACACGGTGTAGACACGGCAGTAGACACGGTGTAGACACGGTGTAGACACGGTGTAGACACGGTGTAGACACTGTGCAGACACGGCAGTAGACACGGTGTAGACACGGTGTAGACACAGCAGTAGACACGGTGTAGACACGGTGTAGACACGGTGTAGACACGGCAGTAGACACGGTGTAGACACGGTGTAGACACGGTGTAGACACGGCAGTAGACACGGCAGTAGACACGGTGTAGACACGGTGTAGACACGGTGTAGACATGGCAGTAGACACGGTGTAGACACGGTGTAGACACGGCAGTAGACACGGCAGTAGACACGGTGTAGACACAGTGTAGACACGGTGTAGACACGGTGTAGACACGGTGTAGACACGGCAGTAGACACGGTGTAGACACGGTGTAGACACGGTGTAGACACGGTGTAGACACGGTGTAGACACGGTGTAGACACGGTGTAGACACTGTGCAGACACGGCAGTAGACACGGTGTAGACACGGTGTAGACACAGCAGTAGACACGGTGTAGACACGGTGTAGACACGGTGTAGACACAGCAGTAGACACGGTGTAGACACGGTGTAGACACGGTGTAGACACGGTGTAGACACGGCAGTAGACACGGCAGTAGACACGGCAGTAGACACGGTGTAGACACGGCAGTAGACACGGTGTAGACACGGTGTAGACACGGTGTAGACACGGTGTAGACACGGCAGTAGACACGGTGTAGACACGGTGTAGACACGGTGTAGACACGGCAGTAGACACGGTGTAGACACGGCAGTAGACGTGCCCGTCCACCGTGTACTTGAAGTTCACATCCAGCTCGGTGTTGTGGGCGTACAAAATCGTGAACGCTTGGCGTTGAAAAGACGCGACGTGTCTTTGCCGGAATGCAGCCATTGCAGCTGCATGAGCCACAGTCCTAAACCTCGCCCATTTACCCTCGACATCAGGAGGAGTCGGGGACGATGCCAATCCCAGCCGCAAGCGATGGTGAAATTCTCGCTTGCAACTTTCATCAGCTACATCCGCTGTTCCGTCACTATGTAGTCCATCAGATGTTCTTCCTTGGACCCAGCATGCACCCATTATGTTATGTGGATGCGCCGGAACAGAGTGTTGGTAACTACAAGCCCACAGGCTGAATAAAAGTATAGCAGCCTCCTACTGTTGTTATTGAGCTGATCTGGCCCATGCCTTCCAATCACTCCAGCCCAGGTGCTAGCATCGTGACCAACTGGGGCATTAAAGGCACCTGAACAGAATGACTCTATCCTGAGGGGCCACTTTAGCTAGCACCTGTGACAGGAGGTCATAGAAGGCATCTGACTCATCGGCCTTGCCTGCATCCCTTCACTGATGTTTATCTTTGGTGGGGGCATAAGTAACCACGACCACCATTCCTCACCTCTGGATGATGGAAAGGCAAGCCCAAAGTAGCCTGGGGCTTACAGCTTCCCACACCTCACCGCCACGCTCCCACGCCCGCTTCATTCTTTCGTCCAGAAGAAGAGCCACACCCTGTTGTTTGGCAGTCTCCTGCCCCGAGTAGAGGACTGTCCACCCCTCATGGTGGCAGGAGCCAGAACCGGTCCAACGGACCTCCTGAATACCACAGAGATCCAGGCGGTACCGGTCCAGCTCCCGACAAGAGGAGTGGCAGCCTCTCTTCCGCAGTGAGCATTCGAACATTCCACGTGGCCACCCGTAGTGGCTTTTCGTTGTTTTTGGAGGAACCACGAGGGTAAGGATTCAGTCTCCTGGCTCCGCCAAGTGGGCTTTGGCCCAGGAGACGTCACAAACGCCTGTCCCCCCAGGGCCTCCGGCACAAGCTTATTTAGATTTTTATTCTGTGGTATCGTGGTAATATATTTGAAGGTGGAGGGGTTACCAGCCCCTCGGAACCATCCAGAAGCCCCCGTTTGGCCGCTGTGGTGGCTACAAAATGCCATGAGGGGGAATGGCCAATCGAAATTTGCCCCTCCCCCCCCCACGGCACTGCTCACCACAGGCGTTGCCGTGTACGGCACCAACGAGGAGACAACAATGTACGCATTGCCACACGCGCTCGCACGCCCGGCATCGATTCTGTTCTAAACTCAGGATACTTCAGTTCCGTTCTATGATCTTCTTTGGTTCTTTCGGTAAAGTCACCACGTAGAATGAGAATAAAATAATATAATAAAACAATAAAATTATCGCGACGTTTCGGCCACAACACAGGCGGCCTTCTTCAGGTGAAAGGAACAGACCTGTCGGGTAGACAGAGCTTCAATGAACGCCGCTAAGATTCGCAGCGTCTTTTTGAGCTGGTTGAGAGAAGCGAGGCACCTTGACAAAGGGGGTTTACAAATCAAACGGGAGAATTTAGCATTGAAACAGCTGAGGGATTAGCTTGTGACTGGTCACAGAAATAGCTGTGTTAAAGTCAAAGCCTACACATCCACAGAGGCACCTAGTATAAATCAAACAGGATAATTTAGCATTGAAATAGCTGAGGGATTAGCTTGTGACTGGTCACAGAAATGGCTATGTTAAAGTCAAAGCCTACACATCCACAGAGGCACCTAGTATAAATCAAACAGGAGAATTTAGCATTGAAACAGCTGAGGGATTAGCTTGTGACTGGTCACAGAAATAGCTGTGTTAAAGTCAAAGCCTACACATCCACAGAGGCACCTAGTATAAATCAAACAGGATAATTTAGCATTGAAATAGCTGAGGGATTAGCTTGTGACTGGTCACAGAAATGGCTATGTTAAAGTCAAAGCCTACACATCCACAGAGGCACCTAGTATAAATCAAACAGGATAATTTAGCATTGAAATAGCTGAGGGATTAGCTTGTGACTGGTCACAGAAATGGCTATGTTAAAGTCAAAGCCTACACATCCACAGAGGCACCTAGTATAAATCAAACAGGAGAATTTAGCATTGAAACAGCTGAGGGATTAGCTTGTGACTGGTCACAGAAATAGCTGTGTTAAAGTCAAAGCCTACACATCCACAGAGGCACCTAGTATAAATCAAACAGGATAATTTAGCATTGAAATAGCTGAGGGATTAGCTTGTGACTGGTCACAGAAATGGCTATGTTAAAGTCAAAGCCTACACATCCACAGAGGCACCTAGTATAAATCAAACAGGATAATTTAGCATTGAAACAGCTGAGGGATTAGCTTGTGACTGGTCACAGAAATGGCTATGTTAAAGTCAAAGCCTACACATCCACAGAGGCACCTAGTATAAATCAAACAGGATAATTTAGCATTGAAATAGCTGAGGGATTAGCTTGTGACTGGTCACAGAAATGGCTATGTTAAAGTCAAAGCCTACACATCCAGAGAGGCACCTAGTACAAATCAAACAGGAGAATTTAGCATTGAAATAGCTGAGTGATTAGCTTGTGACTGGTCACAGAAATAGCTATGTTAAAGTCAAAGCCTACACATCCACAGAGGCACCTAGTATAAATCAAAGAGGATAATTTAGCATTGAAATAGCTGAGTGATTAGCTTGTGACTGGTCACAGAAATAGCTATGTTAAAGTCAAAGCCTACACATCCACAGAGGCACCTAGTACAAATCAAACAGGATAATTTAGCATTGAAATAGCTGAGTGATTAGCTTGTGACTGGTCACAGAAATAGCTATGTTAAAGTCAAAGCCTACACATCCATAGAGGCACCTAGTATAAATCAAACAGGAGAATTTAGCATTGAAATAGTTGAGTGATTAGCTTGTGACTGGTCACAGAAATAGCTGTGTTAAAGTCAAAGCCTACACATCCACAGAGGCACCTCCTCGTACATGGACGCCAAAGGGGCTGCAACAACTCAAACTATCATACAGTAAACCGATGTGAAGAAAAACCTCAGTCTAAATTAACGCAATACAATAAATGTACTCAATATATTCTTCAATAAGCAGATCTATTACTTCTTGATTAAAGTGCAGAAACAAGGTAAAGCCCAAAGGCGACGGGGGTGGGGGGGGGGGGTTGGGGTTGGGGGGTTCTGTGCCAACGCCCGGCACGCTCGCCGGCACCCTCGCCGGCACCCGGCACGCTCACCGGCACGCTCGCCGGCACCCGGCACGCTCACCCGCACCCGGCACGCTCACCCGCACCCGGCACGCTCACCCGCACCCGGCACGCTCACCGACACCCGGCACGCTCACCGACACCCGGCACGCTCACCGACACCCGGCACGCTCACCGACACCCGGCACGCTCACCGACACCCTCGCCGACACCCGGCACGCTCGCCGGCACCGAACCGAGTCGCCATTCTGCTCGTGGCGCTCGACGCGGCTCCATGCGCCGCGCCAAAATCAGGGCGTTCGGGACGGCGATTCGGCCCCGCGGCGAATCGCCAAAAGCACCGTTGGACGTGCGCAAAAACCCCAGCCGTGCCGAATTGTGCGTGTACAAATATATAGGTGGGGGCCGGGGGCCCGGGGGGCCGCCTTGGGGGGGTGTGGCCACGTGGACAGCCGAGCGGCTCCGAGAGGAATCTCGAAGGACGGCGTGACCGGCGAGGGGGCCCCGGACACGCCGGAAGCCCTGACAAGCATCCTCCTGACCGGCTCTGAGGGCGCTTTTGCTCGCGCCAAGAGGAGGAGGAGAGGAGGAGGAGAGGAGGAGGAGGAGGACGCATCGCGCGCGCGGAGGCTTTGACTCTTCCCGCGGGAAGAGTCAAAGCCTCCGAGAGCCCCGCGTTAGCGAGCGACGGCGTGCGTTGGCTAGAATAGGTCCGGTGGTGACCGCCCTACGTTAACTGTACGTCGAGTTAATAGGTAGCGTTGCATCCCAAGGAGTTGTGTGCGCCTATTATATATATAGATAGAGAGAGAGAGAGTTGTATATCTACAGCTAGCTGTGTGTGTATATATGTTGTAGAGAAGGAGGTGGTGGTGGTGGTGGGGGGTGGGGAGTCTCACAGCAATGTAGTAGACTCGCGCCTTCTGCACCAGGGCCCAGTTCTCAGGCAGGTCGAGGTGCTGCTCCTTGACGTAGCCATTGGCAGCAGCAAGATTAGCCACCAGAGACCTGGACAATACAACACGGAGCCACGCACACGGACACGCACACGCACATGGACACGCACACGGACACACACACGGACACACACACGGACACGTACACGGACACACACACGGACACGCACACGGACACACAGACTCGCAGAGACACGGACACGCACAGACACACGGGCTCACAGAGACATAAGACACACACGGACGCGCACGGACACACGGACTCACAGACATGCACGACACGGACACGCACGGACACACAGACACGCACGGACACACAGATACGCACGGACACACAGACACGCACGGGAACACGGACTCACAGAGACAGACACAGACAGACGCGCAGACACAAACTCACAGAGACCCAGAGAAAGACACGGACACGCGACTCAGACACAGACATGCACACGGGGACATGGGGGCGGCAAGGGGACACAGAGAGAGACTCACAGAGACACACAGAAACAGACTCACAGAGACACAGACATACACGTGGAGACAAGGACTCACAGAGACATGGGGACACGGAGACACGGGGTGAGGACACACAGAGAGACACACAGAGACACACACACATTGAGACAAGACAGAGAGACACACACACACATTGAGACAAGATGACACAGAGACACAAACACATTGAGACAAGAAAACACAGAGACACGCGAACACACAGAGGTGAGACACAGTATGGTGTACGTGTGCGAGTTGAACTTCTTTGGCAACATACGTAGCCCACCATGCTAATATGTGGGTCTCTGTGGATGTCTCTGTAGATGACCCTATGGGTGTGAGTGTCTGTGGGTCTCTGTGGGTGTCTCTGTAGATGTTTCTATGGGTCTGGTGTCCATGGGTCTCTGTGGGTGTCTCTTTAGATGTCTCTATGGGTCTGGGTGTCTGTGGGTCTCTGTGAGTGTCTCTGTAGATGTCTCTATGGGTCTGGGTGTCTGTGAGTCTCTGTGAGTGTCTCTGTAGATGTCTCTATGGGTCTGGGTGTCTGTGGGTGTCTCTGTAGATGTCTCTATGGGTCTGGGTGTCTGTGAGTCTCTGTGGGTGTCTCTGTAGATGTCTCTATTGGTCTGAGTGTGTGGGTCTCTGTGGGTGTCTGCGGGTATCTGTGGGCCTCTGTGGGTCTCTCTGGGTGTCTGTAGGTGTCTGTGGGTCTCTCTGGGTGTCTGTGGGTGTCTGTGGGTGTCTGTGGGTGTCTGTGGGTGTCTGCGGGTCTCTCTATGGGTCTGCGTGTCTGTGGGTCGCTGTGGGTGTCTCTGCAGACGTCTCTATATGTCTGAATGTCTGTGGGTCTCTGCGTATGTACAATGTGAACTTCTTTCGTGCTGAACGTAGCCAACCGTGCTCATCGGAGGTGCGGGGGGAAGGAAATTGGAGGTGTCTATCTGTGTCCATCGGTCTGTCTCTCTGTGTCTCTGTCTCTCTGTGTCCATCGGTCTGTCTCTCTATGTGTCTCCGTCTCTTTCTCTCTCTGTGTCTCCGTCTCTCTCTCTCTGTCTCTGTCTCTCTGTCTCCGTCTCTCTCTCTGTGTCTCCATCTCTCTATGTGTCTCTGTCTCTCTGTGTCTCCGTCTGTCTCTCTCTGTGTCTCCGTCTCTCTGTCTCTCTGTGTCTCCGTCTCTCTCTCTCTGTGTCTCTGTCTCTCTGTCTCCGTCTCTCTCTGTGTCTCCGACTGTCTCGCTCTCTCTCTCTCTCTGTGTCTCCGTCTCTCTCTGTGTCTCCGTCTCTCTCTCTCTGTGTCTCTGTCTCTCTCTGTGTGTCTCTCTCTCTCTGTGTCTCAGTCTCTCTCTCTCTGTGTCTATCTCTCTCTTTGTCTCCGTCTCTCTCTCTGTGTCTCTGTCTCTCTCTCTGTGTCTCTCTCTGTCTCCGTCTCTCTCTCTGTGTGTCTCTCTCTGTCTCTCTCTCTGTGTCTCTCTTTCTCTCTCTCTGTGTCTATCTCTCTCTCTGTCTCCGTCTCTCTCTCTCTCTCTGTGTCTCCGTCTCTCCGACTGTCTCTCTTTCTGTGTCCCTCTCTCTGTGTCCCTCTCCCTCCATCTCTCCCTCCATCTTGGTCTCCGTGTGTCTCTCTCGGTCTCACTCTCTCTCTCTCTCTGCCTCTCTGTCTTCCTCTGTCTCTCTCTCACCTCTTCCCGCGCACAGTCATATTCATGTTGACCGAGTTGCTGCTACCTTGAGGCTGCTCGCTGAGTCAGCACAAATATATACGGACGCACAGACACACGCATGCACACATACATAGGCACACAGACATGCGCACACACACATGTACATAGACACACACCGAGACACACACACAGATAGAGACACACACGCATGCACACAGACACACACATGCATATAGACACACTAGCAATGACACACAGAGACACAGAGAAAGACATGCACACAGGCACACACACACACATACCTGCACTCATACACACACACACAGACATGCACGCACACGTACACACAAACATGCATGCATTTATGAATCTGTACCATCCAGTACAAACACATACACATGCACAACCACAACAACCGCCAATTGCCACTAAGTGACGGTGACGTCACTACGACGCTTGTGCCAGGCCATGTCCACGTTCAGGCCATGTGAAATGTCGAACGCCCGCTGGCAGGAGGTCACGGGGCAGACCCAGGTGCCACGGGCCGACTGATTGAGATGACTGAGATGACTGGCTGATGCACCACCTGTGCCCCCTACTGTGCCAACCTGCTGTGCTTTAGCCACCCGGCGCCCCGCTCGTTGTTGTGAGCGTCGCTCCTCCGCCCTCCGTTGTTGTTGGAGGGCGAAATAGATGTTAAATAATGTGGGTGCCAGAGGACATCCCTGTCGCACCCCAAAGTGAACAGGGAATGGCTCTGACTCCTGGTCACGTAGTTTTACCCGGGCCCACTCACCATCATGAAGGTCCTTAATGATCGTGAGAAGCGGATCAGGGACTCCGAAAGCACGAAGAACAACCCAGAGCCCAGGCTGACTGATGGTATCATAGGCCTTGACCAGGTCAATAAAGCAGACAGACAGAAAATATGACATCTGTGCAGGACCGCCCTTTCCTGAAACCACATTGGGGCTCCGCAAGCCTCTCCTCAGCGTGTCTGGCAAAGCGATGTTGAATAATCCTTGCCAGGACCTTTCCCGGCACACTGAGTAGTGAGATGCCTCTGTAGTTGTTACAGTCTGTGCGGTCCCCATTCTTAAACAGGGGGACCACCAGGGCATCCCTCCATTCCTGCGGAACCCGTCCAGTGGTCCAGACTGTTGTTATGTCATGTAGGGCAGTCTGTGCACAAACGCGACCCTCCCTCAGCATTTCACTTGAGAGATCATCTCTGCCTGGTGCCTTTCCTGGTCTCAGGCTCTGGATCGCCTTCAGTACTTCCTCAACAGATGGCACCTTAGCCAGCCACACAGGGGGTGACTTTTTATTCCAATATTTGAGGCATCGCAGCCTCAGCAGGGTCATCCCCACTTTGCCCCATGTTGTTGTCCAGGCTGAGGGATTTCCCCTCCCCCAGGACCTCACAAAAATGCTCAGCAAATCTGCAAAGCGGTTCGTGGGGGTCGGAGATTGGATCACCGTTCTTTCCCCTAATAATGCTAATAGGTATGGTGCTGCAGGTTTCGTTTTTGATGGAATCAAAGAGCGATTTGTGATCGCTGGCCATTGAGGCAGACTCCATCTCCTCAGCAACTTGCGACCACCAACCATCCTTGTAGCGCCTCAAGGCTCTCCGAACCTTTCGAGCGAAGGCTGCGGCAAGCCTCCTCATACTCTTGACGTGGGATGCTGTAGACGATGAGAGTGGGCCTGTCGCATTTTCTCAGCCAGACTGAACACCTCCTCTGTCAGCCAGGGTCTCTCTGGGGAGGTCTGCACTGTGCGCCCAAGGCAGCCATCGCAGCTGCATGAGCCACAGTCCTAAACCTCGCCCATTTCCCCTCAACATCAGGAGTGGGGGACGATGCCAATCCCAGCCGCAAGCGATGATGAAATTCTCGCTTGCAACTTTCATCATCTAGCTGAGACCAAGGACTATGGGTCCTGGGTGTACACCCACCACCGGAGTGGAAGAATGCCAGGCACATCTTGCAGATGACAAGTCGATGGTCAGTGGGCAGATCAGCTCCACAGTAGATCCTCATGTCAAGGACATGGGCTCGCATCTGCTGTTCCGTCACTATATAGTCCAGCAGATGTTCTTGCTTGGACCCGGCATGCATCCATGATGTTGTGTGGATGCGCTGATGCCGGAACAGCGTGTTGGTAATTACAAGCCCATGGGTTGCACAAAAGTCTAGCAGCCTCCTATCGTTGTTACTGAGCTGATCTGGCCCATGCATTCCAATGACTTGAGACCAGGTGCCAGCATCATGACCAACTCGGGCATTCAAGTCACCCAACAAGATGACTCTATCCCGAGGGGCCACTTTAGCTAGCACCTGTGACAGGAGGTCATGGAAGGCATCTGACTCATCGGCCTTGCCTGCATCCCTCCACTGATGTTCATCTTCCACTGATGTTCATCTTCGGTGGGGGCATACGTGACCACGACCACCACTCCTTGCCTCTGGTTGATGGGAATGCGAACCCAAAATAGCCTGGGACTTACATCTTCGCACACCTCACCGCCACGCTCCCACGACCCCTTCATTCTTTTATTCAGAAGAAGAGCCACTCCCTGTTTGGCAGTCTCCTGCCCCGAATAGAGGACTGTCCACCCCTCATGGTGGCAGGAGCCAGAGCCGGTCCACCGGACCTTCTGAATACCGCAGATCCAGGTGGTACCAGTCCAGCTCCCGAAAGAGGAGTGGCAGCCTCTCCTCCGCAGAGAGCGTTCGAACATTAAACGTAGCCACTCGCAGTGGCTTTTTTCTGTTTCTGGAGGAACCCTGAGGGTAGGGATTCAATCTCCTGGCTCCGCCAAATGAGGTTTGGCCAGGAGACGTCATAGACGCCTATCCTCCCGGGGGCCTCCGGCACAAGCTTCGTTTGACACATGCACACACAAATGCACGCACACACATGCGCACACACTTCCAGGTACAAGGACAATCGCCATCACTGGTGTTGGTGGGCATGAACAGGATTTTAACTCGGGTATTTTTTGGGTTTGTAATGCAGTGCAGTGCTAACTGCTGCACCACCGCTCCCCACAGACGCACACAGACACACGCTCTATCTCTCTCCCCGTGTCTCTCTCCCAATCTCTCTCTGTGTCTCTCTGTCTCTTTGTCTATGTGTGTGTCTCTCTGTGTCTCTCTCGATGCGTCTCCCTCTCTCTCTGTGTCTCTGTGTGTCTCTCTCTGTGTCTCTCTCTGTGTGTCTCTCTGTGTGTCTCTCTGTGTGTCTCTCTGTGCGTCTCTCTGTGCGTCTCTCTGTGCGTCTCTCTGTGTGTCTCTCTGTGTGTCTCTCTGTGTGTCTCTCTGTGTGTCTCTGTGTGTGTCTCTGTGTGTGTCTCTGTGTGTGTCTCTGTGTGTGTCTCTGTGTGTGTCTCTCTCTGTGTCTCTCTCTGTGTCTCTCTCTGTGTCTCTCTCTGTGTCTCTGTGTCTCTGTCTCTCTGTCTCTCTCTGTGTCTCTCTCTCTGTGTGTCTCTCTGTGTCTCTCTGTGTCTCACCGGTTGTCCCCCGTGACACACACAGCGCAGGACCCCGTGGCTGCGCTGCTAGTGACCTGGTAGCGTGCGTCCACTCCTCTCTCTGTCTCTTGTGTGTGTCTCTCTTGTGTGTGTCTCTCTGTCTCTCTGTCTCTTGTGTGTGTCTCTTGTGTGTGTCTCTCTGTGTGTGTCTCTCTCTGTCTCTCTGTCTCTCTGTGTGTGTCTCTCTGTGTCTCTGTGTCTCTCTCTATCTCTGTGTGTGTCTCTCTCTGTCTCTGTCTCTCTCTCTCTCTGTGTGTCTCTCTCTGTGTCTCTGTGTGTCTCTCTCTCTCTCTCTCTGTGTCTCTCTGTGTCTCTCTGTGTCTCACCGGTTGTCCCCCGTGACACACACAGCGCAGGACCCCGTAGCTGCGCTGCTAGTGACCTGGTAGCGTGCGTCCACTCCGGCCTCCTCCGCCTTGCGTCTGAGCGTCGCCCCAAACGCGTCCTCGCCCACGCAGCCGAAGAAGGTGGCGGCCTTGCACGGGTGGCCAATCATCCACTACGTGGCGGGTAAAGTGGGTACCAGCGAGAGAGGGAGAGAGAGACCATCATCAACTACGAGAGGTAACGTGGGTTGCCAGGGAGGGAGCGGAGGATAGGAGGGGGATCTAGGGAGGGCAGAGGGATGGGGGTAGAGAGAGAGAGAGGGAAGGGGTAAGAAGGGGGAGAAGCAGAGAGTGAAATCTTTCGTGAAATCTTTCATTTAAAAAGGAGGGAGGGAGGGAGGGAGAGAGCGAGGGAGGGAGGGAGCGAGGGAGGGAGGGAGGGAGGGAGGGAGGGAGGGAGGGAGGGAGCGAGGGAGGGAGGGAGGGAGGGAGGGAGGGAGGGAGGGATGGATGGAGGGATGGAGGGAGGGAGCGAGGGAGCGAGGGATGGATGGAGGGATGGAGGGAGGGAGCGAGGGAGCGAGGGAGCGAGGGAGGGAGGGAGGGAGGGATGGAGGGAGGGAGGGAGGGAGGGAGGGAGGGAGAGGGAGGGAGGGAGGGAGGGAGGGAGGGAGGGAGGGAGGGAGGGAGGGAGAGGGAGGGAGGGGAGAGGGAGGGAGGGAGGGAGGGAGGGAGGGAGGGGAGAGGGAGGGAGGGGAGAGGGAGGGAGCGAGGGAGGGAGGGAGCGAGGGAGGGATGGAGGGAGGGAGGGAGGGAGCGAGCGAGGGAGGGAGGGAGGGAGGGAGGGAGGGAGGGGAGGGAGGGAGGGAGGGAGGGGGAGGGAGGGAGGGGAGGGAGGGAGGGAGCGAGGGATGGAGGGAGGGAGGGAGGGAGGAGGGAGGAGGGAGGGAGGGAGGGAGGGAGGGAGGGAGGGAGGGAGGGGAGGGAGGGAGGGAGGGAGGGAGGGGAGGGAGGGAGGGAGGGAGGGAGGGAGGGAGGGAGGGAGGGAGGGAGGGAGGGAGGGATGGAGGGAGGGAGGGAGGGAGGGAGGGAGGGAGGGAGGGAGGGAGGGAGGGAGGGAGGGAGGGAGGGAGGGAGGGAGGGGAGGGAGGAGGGAGGGAGGGAGGGATGGAGGGAGGGAGGGAGGGAGGGAGGGGAGGAGGGAGGGAGGGAGGGAGGGAGGGAGGGGAGGGAGGGAGGGGAGGGAGGGAGGGAGGGAGGGAGGGAGGGAGGGAGGGAGGGAGGGAGGGAGGGAGGGGAGGGAGGGGAGGGAGGGAGAGGGAGGGAGGGAGGGAGGAGGGAGGGAGGGAGGGAGGGAGGGAGGGAGGGAGGGAGGGAGGGAGGGAGGGAGGGAGGGAGGGAGGGAGGGAGGGGAGGGAGGGAGGGAGGGAGGGAGGGGAGGGAGGGAGGGAGGGAGGGAGGGAGGGAGGAGGGGAGGGAGGGAGGGAGGGAGGGAGGGAGGGAGGGGAGGGAGGGAGGGAGGGAGGGAGGGAGGGAGGGAGGGAGGGAGGGAGGGAGGGAGGGAGGGAGGGAGGAGGGAGGGAGGGAGGGAGGGAGGGAGGGAGGGAGGGAGGGAGGGAGGGAGGAGGGAGGGAGGGAGGGAGGGAGGGAGGGAGGGAGGGAGGGAGGGAGGGAGGGAGGGAGGGAGGGAGGGAGGGGAGGGAGGGAGGGAGGGAGGAGGGGAGGGAGGGAGGGAGGGAGGGAGGGAGGGAGGGAGGGAGGGAGGGAGGGAGGGAGGGAGGGAGGGAGGGAGGGAGGGAGGGAGGGAGGGAGGGAGGGAGGGAGGGAGGGAGGGAGGGAGGGAGGGAGGGAGGGAGGGAGGGAGGGAGGGAGGGAGGGAGGGAGGGCGAGGGAGGGAGCGAGGGAGGGAGGGGAGGGAGGGAGGGAGCGAGCGAGGGAGGGAGGGAGGGAGGGAGGGGGAGGGAGGGGGAGGGAGGGAGGGAGGGGGAGGGAGGGAGGGAGGGAGGGAGGAGGGATGGAGGGAGGGAGGGAGGGAGGGAGCGAGGGAGGGAGCGAGGGAGCGAGGGAGGGAGGGAGGAGGGAGGGGGGGAGGGAGGGAGGGAGGGAGGGAGGGGAGGGAGCGAGGGAGGGAGGGGAGGGAGCGAGGGAGGGAGGGGAGGGAGCGAGGGAGGGAGGGAGGGAGCGAGGGAGGGAGCGAGGGAGGAGGGAGGGAGGGAGGAGGGAGGGAGGGAGGGAGGGAGGGAGGGAGGGAGGGAGGGAGGGGAGGGAGGGAGGGAGGGAGGAGGGAGGGAGGGAGGGAGGGAGGGAGGGAGGGAGGGAGGGAGGGAGGGAGGGAGGGAGGAGGGAGGGAGGGAGGGAGGGAGGGAGGGAGGGAGGGAGGGAGGGAGGGAGGGAGGGAGGGAGGGAGGGGAGGGAGGGAGGGAGGGAGGGAGGGAGGAGGGAGGGAGGGAGGGAGCGAGGGAGGGATGGAGGGAGGGAGGGAGGGAGGAGGAGGGAGGGAGGGAGGGAGGGAGGGAGGGAGGGAGGGAGGGGAGGGAGGGAGGGAGGGAGGGGAGGGAGGGAGGGGAGGGAGGGAGGGAGGGAGGGGAGGGAGGGAGGGAGGGAGGGAGGGAGGGAGGGAGGGAGGAGGGAGGGAGGGAGGGAGGGAGGGAGGGAGGGAGGGGAGGGAGGGAGGGAGGGGAGGGAGGGAGGGAGGGAGGGAGGGAGGGAGGGAGGGAGGGGAGGGAGGGAGGGAGGGAGGGAGGGAGGGATGGAGGGAGGGAGGGAGGGAGGGGAGGGAGGGAGGGAGGGAGGGAGGGAGGGAGGGGAGGGAGGGAGGGAGGGAGGGAGGGAGGGAGGGAGAGGGAGGGAGGGAGGGAGGGAGGGAGGGGAGAGGGAGGGAGGGGAGAGGGAGGGAGGGAGGGAGGGAGGGAGGGAGCGAGCGAGGGAGGGAGGGAGGGAGGGGGAGGGAGGGGGAGGGAGGGGGAGGGAGGGGGAGGGAGGGAGAGGGAGGGGGAGGGAGGGAGAGGGAGGGAGGGAGGGAGCGAGGGATGGAGGGAGGGAGGGAGGGAGGGAGCGAGGGAGGGAGCGAGGGAGCGAGGGGAGGGAGGGAGGGAGGGAGGGAGGGGGGAGGGAGGGAGGGAGGGAGGGGAGGGAGCGAGGGAGGGAGGGGAGGGAGCGAGGGAGGGAGGGGAGGGAGCGAGGGAGGGAGGGAGGGAGCGAGGGAGGGAGGGAGGGAGCGAGGGAGGGAGCGAGGGAGCGAGGGAGCGAGGGAGCGAGCGAGGGAGGGAGGGAGGGAGGGAGGGAGGGAGGGGAGGGAGGGAGGGAGCGAGCGAGGGAGGGAGGGAGGGAGGGAGGGAGGGAGGGAGCGAGGGAGGGAGGGAGGGAGGGAGGGAGGGGGGGAGGGAGGGAGGGAGGGAGCGAGGGGAGGGAGGGAGGGAGGGGAGGGAGGGAGGGAGGGAGGGGAGGGAGGGAGGGAGGGAGCGAGGGAGGGAGGGAGGGAGCGAGGGAGGGAGGGGAGGGAGGGAGCGAGGGAGGGAGGGAGCGAGGGAGGGAGGGAGGGGGAGGGAGGGAGGGAGGGAGGGAGCGAGGGAGGGAGGGAGGGAGGGAGGGGAGGGAGGGAGGGAGGGAGGGAGGGGGGGAGGGAGGGAGGGAGGGAGGGAGGGGAGGGAGCGAGGGAGGGAGGGGAGGGAGCGAGGGAGGGAGGGGAGGGAGCGAGGGAGGGAGGGAGGGAGCGAGGGAGGGAGGGAGGGAGCGAGGGAGGGAGCGAGGGAGCGAGGGAGGGAGCGAGCGAGGGAGGGAGGGAGGGAGGGAGGGAGGGAGGGAGGGAGGGAGGGAGGGAGGGGAGGGAGGGAGGGAGGGGAGGGAGGGAGGGAGGGAGGGAGGAAGGGAGGGAGGGAGGGAGGGAGGGAGGGAGGGAGGGAGGGAGGGAGCGAGGGAGGGAGGGGAGGGAGGGAGGGAGCGAGGGAGGGAGCGGGAGGGAGGGAGGGAGCGAGGGAGCGAGGGAGCGAGGGAGGGAGGGAGCGAGGGAGGGAGGGAGGGAGGGGAGCGAGGGAGGGAGGGAGGGAGCGAGGGAGGGAGGGGAGGGAGGGAGGGAGCGAGGGAGGGAGCGGGAGGGAGGGAGGGAGGGAGCGAGGGAGCGAGGGAGGGAGGGGAGGGAGGGAGGGAGGGAGGGGGGAGGGAGGGAGGGAGGGAGGGAGCGAGGGAGGGAGGGAGGGAGCGAGGGAGGGAGGGAGGGGAGGGAGGGAGGGAGGGGAGGGAGGGAGGGAGGGAGGGAGGGGAGGGAGGGAGGGAGGGAGGGAGGGAGGGAGGGAGCGAGGGAGGGAGGGGAGGGAGCGAGGGAGGGAGCGGGAGGGAGGGAGGGAGCGAGGGAGCGAGGGAGCGAGGGAGGGAGGGAGCGAGGGAGGGAGGGAGGGAGGGGAGCGAGGGAGGGAGGGAGGGAGCGAGGGAGGGAGGGGAGGGAGGGAGGGAGCGAGGGAGGGAGCGAGGGAGGGAGGGAGCGAGGGAGCGAGGGAGGGAGCGAGGGAGGGAGGGAGCGAGGGAGGGAGGGAGGGGAGCGAGGGAGGGAGGGAGGGAGGGAGGGAGGGAGCGAGGGAGCGAGGGAGCGAGGGAGGGAGGGAGGGAGCGAGGGAGGGAGGGAGGGGAGCGAGGGAGGGAGGGAGGGAGCGAGGGAGGGGGGGAGGTAGGGAGGGGGGGAGGGAGCGAGGGATGGAGGGAGGGGGGGGGGGGAGCGAGGGAGCGATGGAGGGAGGGAGGGAGGGAGCGAGCGAGGGAGGGAGGGGGGGAGGGAGCGAGGGATGGAGGGAGGAAGCGAGGGAGCGAGGGAGCGAGGGAGGGATGGAGGGAGGGAGGGAGGGGGGGAGGGAGGGAGGGAGGGAGGGAGCGAGGGAGCGATGGAGGGAGGGAGGGAGGGAGCGAGGGAGGGAGGGGAGGGGCCACCCACCTGCGCTACCCGCATGGAATTCTGGGTCGACCCTCCTGCCAGGTATTCCACAGAGAACCGCTTTACCATGTCCTCAAATCTGGGGTCAAAGAGAGGTCAAGAGGTCAAGCCGGTCAGTGCCACTGGGGGAGAGACAAAGGTGGTGGTGGAGGTGGTGGTGGTAGTGGTGGGGGTGGTGGGGGTGGTGGTGGTGGTGGTGGTGGGAGTGATGGTGGTGGTGGTGGTAGTGGTGGTGGTGGTGATGGTGGTGGTGGAGGTGGTGGTGGGAGTGATGGTGGTGGTAGTGGTGGTAGTGGTGGTAGTGGTGGTAGTGATGGTGGTGGTGGAGGTGGTGGTGGCGGTGGTGGTGTTGGTGGTGGTGGTGGAGGTGGTGGTGGTGATGGTGGTGGTGGTAGTAGTGGTGGTAGTAGTGGTGTTGGTGGTGGAGGTGGTGGTGGTGGTAGTGGTGGTAGTGGTGGTGGTGGCGGTGGGAGTGATGGTGGTGGTGGTGTTGGTGGTGATGTTGATGGTGGTGGTGGCGGTGGTGGTGGTGGTGGGAGTGATGGTGGTTGTGGTGGTGGGAGTGATGGTGGTGGTGGTGTTGGTGGTGGTGTTGGTGGTGTTGGGAGTGATGGTGGTTGTGGTGGTGATGGTGGTGGTGGTGCTGGTTCCGGTGGCCACCCCCCCCCTCTCTGTGCGTGTGTCACAGTGGCCGGCAGCCTTCATAGGCGGCGCTGCTGCTGCTGCTGTTGCTCACAGCACTTGCCCCAACACAGCCCCGTCGAAGGGCCACACGGGGAATCTGTCTCTGTGTCTATACTACAAAGGACACGGGCACACTGCCCGCTCGGCTAAATACCAACGCTCTCAGCAGAGAGCGTGCGTGAGTGCAGTGTGTCCGTGCGTGGTGTGTACACGAGTGTATCGGTGTGTGTGTGTGTGTGTATCCGTGTGTGTGTGTGTGGGGGTATCCGTGTGTGTGTGTGTGGGTGTATCCATGTGTGTGTGTGTGGGTGTATCCGTGTGTGTGCGTGTGTGGGTGTATCTGTGTGTGTGTGGGTGTATCGGTGTGTGTGTGGGTGTGTGGGTGTGTGGGGGTGTATTCGTGTGTGTGTGTGTGTGGGTGTATCCGTGTGTGTGTGTGTGTATCCGTGTGTGTGTGTGGGTGTATCCGTGTGTGTGTGGGTGTATCCGTGTGTGTGTGTGTGTATCCGTGTGTGTGTGTATCCGTGTGTGTGTGGGTGTATCGGTGTGTGTGTGTGTGGGTGTATCGGTGTGTGTGTGGGTGTGTGGGGGTGTATTCGTGTGTGTGTGTGTGTATCCGTGTGTGTGTGTGTGTGGGTGTATCGGTGTGTGTGTGGGTGTGTGGGGGTGTATTCGTGTGTGTGTGTGTGTGGGTGTATCCGTGTGTGTGTGTATCCGCGTGTGTGTGTGTGGGTGTATCCGTGTGTGTGTGTGTGTGGGTGTATCCGTGTGTGGGTGTATCCGTGTGTGTGTGTGTGTGTATCCGTGTGTGTGTGTGGGTGTATCCGTGTGTGTGTGTGGGTGTATCCGTGTGTGTGGGTGGATCCGTGTGTGTGTGTGTATCCGTGTGTGTGTGTGTGTGGGTGTATCCGTGTGTGTGTGGGTGTATCCGTGTGTGTGTGTGGGTGTATCCGTGTGTGTGTGTGGGTGTATCCGTGTGTGTGTGTGTGGGGGTGTATCCGTGTGTGGGGGTGTATCCGTGTGTGTGGGTGTATCCGTGTGTGTGTGTGTGGGTGTATCCGTGTGTGTGTGGGTGTATCCGTGTGTGTGTGTGTGGGTGTATCCGTGTGTGTGTGTGGGTGTATCCGTGTGTGTGGGTGTATCCGTGTGTGTGGGTGTATCCGTGTGTGTGTGTGTATCCGTGTGTGTGTGTGTGTGGGTGTATCCGTGTGTGTGTGTGGGTGTATCCGTGTGTGTGGGTGTGGGTGTATCCGTGTGTGTGTGTGTATCCGTGTGTGTGTGTGTATTCGTGTGTGTGGTGTATCCGTGTGTGTGTGTGGGTGTATCCGTGTGTGTGTGTGTGGGTGTATCCGTGTGTGTGGGTGTATCCGTGTGTGTGTGTGGGTGTATCCGTGTGTGTGTGTATCCGTGTGTGTGTGTGTGTGGGTGTATCCGTGTGTGTGTGTGTGTGTGTATCCGTGTGTGTGTGTGTGTGGGTGTATCCGTGTGTGTGGGTGTGTGGGTGTATCCGTGTGTGTGGGTGTATCCGTGTGTGTGTGTGTGTATCCGTGTGTGTGTGTGTATCCGTGTGTGTGTGTCCGTGTGTGTGTCCGTGTGTGTGTGTATGTACATCAGTGTGTCCGTGTGTCGGAGTGTGTCCATGTCTGTGTGCGTATCCGTCTGTGTCAATATATCCGTGTGTATGTACATTAGTGTATCCGTGTGTGTATCCGTGTGTGTGTGTATCCGCGTGTGCAAGTGTGTATTCACGTGTCTGTGTGTGTATCCGTGTGTGTGTCCGTGTGTGTGTCCGTGTGTGTGTATGTACATCAGTGTGTAGTGTAGCGGTTAGTACGCTGCGCTATGAACCTGGCGACCCGGGTTCGATTCCCGCTCACGGCCAACACCAGTGACGATTATCTGAACCGGTCCCGGGCCTCCCCTAGGTCGACTCAGCCTCAAATGAGTACCTGGTGCGGTGTGTAAACATTGCCACTGGGGAGACAAAGGCGGTCGGGCGTGGTGCTGGCCACCCACCCCCTCTCGTGTACCGTTCCGGCCTTCATAGGTGCTCGCTAACAGCACTTGCCCCTACAGTCTGTTAAGGCTATATGGGGGATCTTTATGTACATCAGTGTATCCGTGTGTGTGTATCCGTGTGTGTGTGTGTGTATCCGTGTGTGTGTGTGTATCCGTGTGTGTGTGTGTATCCGTGTGTGTGTGTGTATCCGTGTGTGTGTGTGTGTATCCGTGTGGGTGTCCCCGTGTGTGTATCCGTGTGTGTGTGTCCGTGTGTGTGTGTCCGTGTGTGTGTGTATGTACATCAGTGTATCCGTGTGTGTGTATCCATGTGTGAGTGTGTTCATGTGTATGTGTATCTGTGTGTTCGTGTATATACGCGAGTGTATCCGTGTGTGTATCCGTGTGTAAGTGTGTTCATGTGTATCTGTGTGTGCGTGTATATACGTGTGTATCCGTGTGTAGGTGTGTTCATGTGTATGTGTATCTGTGTGTGTGTCCATGAGTCTATCCGTATTTGTGTGCATCTGTGTGTGTGTGTATCCGTGTGTGTGTATCCGTGTGTGTGTATCCGTGTGTGTGTGTATCCGTGTGTGTATCCGTGTGTGTGTGTGTATCCGTGTGGGTGTCCCCGTGTGTGTATCCGTGTGTGTGTGTGTCCGTGTGTGTGTCCGTGTGTGTGTATGTACATCAGTGTATCCGTGTGTGTGTATCCATGTGTGAGTGTGTTCATGTGTATGTGTATCTGTGTGTTCGTGTATATACACGAGTGTATCCGTGTGTGTGTATCCGTGTGTAAGTGTGTTCATGTGTATGTGTATCTGTGTGTGTGTGTGTCCATGAGTCTATCCGTGTTTGTGTGCATCTGTGTGTGTGTGTGTATCTGTGTGTGTGTGTCTGTGTATCTGTGTGTGTGTGTGTATATCTGTGTGTATCCATGTGTCAATGTGCGTGTGTATCCGTGTCCATGTTTACGTGTGTGTAAATCAATACACTCAACACACACACACTCTCTGCTGAGAAAGCAGCAGCATACCAACCCTCCCAGCAGAGTGTGTGTGTCCGTGTGTGTCCGTGTGTGTCTGTGAGCCTGTGTATGTCTCTGCGAGTCCGTGCGAGTCTCTGTGTGATCCTGTGTGTATCTCTGCGAGTCTCTGCGAGTCCGTGGGTCTCCGTGCGAGTCGTTGGGTCACTGCGAGCCTGTGGGTCCTCTACGCGAGTCTCCGTGTCTCTGCGAGTCTAAGCGCCACTGTGTGTGTGTCCATGTGTGTCTCTGTGCGAGTCAGTATGTTTGACATTGTAATAGCATTCTTGATAAGCTCCCAAAAACTCTCTCCCCCTCTCTCACTGTCTCCCTCGCTCAGTGTCTCTCTCTCTCTCTCTCACTGTCTCTCTCTCTCTCTCTGTATATATCTCTCTCACTTGGTGTATCTCTCTCCCCCCTCTATATCTCTCTATAAATATCTCTGTGTATCTCTCTGTCCACGTGTCTCCCCATGTCTCCCTGTATGTCCTCATATCTCTCCGTGTGTGTCTCCCCGTGTGTCTCCACGTGTGTCTCCACGTGTGTGTCTCCACGTGTGTGTCTCCACGTGTGTGTCTCCACGTGTGTGTGTGTCCGTGTGTGTGTGTCCGTGTGTCTGTCCGTGTGTCTCCACGTGTGTGTCCCCGTCTGTCTCCCCCGACGTTTCTCCCCCGTATCCCTCCCCGGGTCGCCATGTGCCTCTCGTGTGTCTAACTTGTAGCCCTGTGTCTCGCTATCTCCCCGTGTACATCCCCGTGTACATCCCCGTTTCTCCCCGTGTCCCACTGCAACTCCCCGTGTCTCTCAGTGTCCCCGTGTGTCTCCCCGTATCTCTCAGTATCCCCCGTGTCTCTCCCCGTGTCTCTCCCCGTGTGTCTCCCCCGTGTGTCTCACATCTCTTTGTGTTTCTCATCAGCGAGGATCTGATCGTTTGCTTTGAGTCCGTACCTGCACACACAGAGAGAGAGAGAGTCGGTGATGGTGATGATGGTGGTGGTGACGGTGGTAGTGATGGTGGTGGTGATGATGGTGGCAGATAATGGTGGTAGTGATGGTGATCGTAGTAGTAATGGTAGTAGTGATGGTAGTAGTGATGGTGGTGACGGTGGTAGTGATGGTCGTGGTGATGGTGGTGACGGTGGTAGTGATGGTGGTAGTGGTGGTGATGGTGATGGTGGTGGCGATGGTGGTGGTGATGATGGTGGCGATGGTGGTGGTGATGGTGGTGGCGATGGTGGTGGTGATGATGGTGGCGATGGTGGTGGTGATGGTGGTGGTGATGGTGGTGGTGATGATGGTGGCGATGGTGGTGGTGATGGTGGTGGTGACGGTGGTAGTGATGGTGGTGGTGATGATGGTGGCAGATAATGGTGATAGTGATGGTGATCGTAGTAGTAATGGTAGTAGTGATGGTAGTAGTGATGGTAGTAGTGATGGTAGTAGTGATGGTAGTAGTGATGGTGGTGACGGTGGTAGTGATGGTGGTAGTGGTGGTCGTGGTGATGGTGGTAATGGTGGTGGCGATGGTGGTGACGGTGGTGGTGATGGTGGTGATGGTGGCAGATAATGGTGGTAGTAATGGTGACCGTAGTAGTGATGGTAGTAGTGATGGTAGTAGTGATGGTGGTGACGGTGGTAGTGATGGTGGTAGTGGTGGTCGTGGTGATGGTGGCGACGGTGGTAGAGATGGTGGTAGTGGTGGTCGTGGTGATGGTGGTGACGTTGGTAGTGATGGTGGTAGTGGTGGTGATGGTGATGATGGTGGTAGTGATGGTGGGGATAGTGGTCGTGGTAATGGTAGTGATAGTGGTGATGGTGATAGTGGTCGTGGTAATGGTGGTGATGGTGGTGGTGATGATGGTGGAACTGATGGTGATGATAGTGGTGGTGGTGGAGATGATGGTGATGATAGTAGTCATGATGGTGGTGGTGATAGTGGTGCTGATGATGGTGGCAGAGATGGTGATCGTAGTAGTGATGGTGATCGTAGTAGTGATGGTAGTAGTGATGGTGGTAGAGATGGTGGTAGTGGTGGTCGTGGTGATGGTGGTGACGGTGGTAGTGATGGTGGTAGTGGTGGTGATGGTGATGATGGTGATAGTGGTGATGGTGGTCGTGGTAATGGTGGTGGTGGTGATGGTGGTGGTGATGATGGTGGAACTGATGGTGATGATAGTGGTGGTGGTGGAGATGATGGTGATGATAGTAGTTATGATGGTGGTGGTGATAGTGGTGGTGATGGTGGTGGTGATGGTGGCAGAGATGGTGATCGTAGTAGTGATGGTGATCGTAGTAGTGATGGTAGTAGTGATGGTAGTAGTGATGGTGGTAGAGATGGTGGTAGTGGTGGTCGTGGTGATGGTGGTGACGGTGGTAGTGATGGTGGTAGTGGTGGTGATGGTGATGATGGTGGTAGTGATGGTGGTGATAGTGGTCGTGGTAATGGTAGTGATAGTGGTGATGGTGATAGTGGTCGTGGTAATGGTGGTGATAGTGGTAATGGTGGTCGTGGTAATGGTGGTGATGGTGGTGGTGATGATGATGGTGGAACTGATGGTGATGATAGTGGTGGTGGTGGAGATGAGATGGTGATGATAGTAGTCATGATGGTGGTGGTGATAGTGGTGCTGATGATGGTGATGATAATGGTGAGGATAGTGGCGCTGATGATCATGGTGGTGATGATGATCATGGTGGTGATGATGATCATGGTGGTGATGATTACTTGTCCAGGAAGTCTTTATCCACGATTGCAGAGATGTCAAGCAGTGGATTTCCCATTCCGAACAGCATGTTTTCACTACACAGGGAGAATATGGAGAGAGAGAGAGACACGGGGAAGAGGAGAGAGACACACGGGGAGAGAGAGACACGGGGAGAGAGAGACACGGGGAGAGAGAGACACGGGGAGAGAGAGACACGGGGAGAGAGAGACACGGGGAGTAGAGACACGGGGAGAGAGAGACACACGGGGAAGAGGAGAGAGACACACGGGGAGAGAGACACGGGGAGGAGAGAGACACACGGGGAGAGAGACACGGGGAGAGAGAGACACACGGGGAGAGAGAGACACGGGGAAGAGGAGAGAGACACACGGGGAGAGAGAGAGACACACGGGGAGAGAGAGAGAGACACACGGGGAGAGAGAGACACACGGGGAGAGAGAGAGACACGGGGAGAGAGAGACACACGGGGAGAGAGAGACACACGGGGAGAGACAGCGAGAGAGAGACATAGGGAGGAGAGAGACACACGGGGAGAGAGAGACATAGGGAGGAGAGAGACACACGGGGAGAGAGAGACACACGGGGAGGAGAGAGACACGGGGAGGAGAGAGACACACGGGGAGGAGAGAGACACACGGGGAGAGAGAGACACATGGGGAGAGAGAGACACGGGGAGAAAGATAGAGACACGGGGAGAGAGAGACACGGGGAGAGAGAGACACGGGGAAGAGGAGAGAGACACACGGGGAGAGAGAGACACACACGGGGAGAGAGACACGGGGAGAGAGAGACACGGGGAGAGAGAGACACGGGGAGAGAGAGACACGGGGAGAGAGAGACACGGGGAGAGAGAGACACGGGGAGAGAGAGACACGGGGAGAGAGAGACACGGGGAGAGAGAGACACGGGGAGAGAGAGACACGGGGAGAGAGAGACACGGGGAGAGAGAGACACGGGGAGAGAGAGACACGGGGAGAGAGAGACACGGGGAGAGAGAGACACGGGAAGAGAGAGACACGGGAAGAGAGAGACACGGGGAGAGAGAGACATAGGGAGGAGAGAGACACGGGGAGGAAGAGAGACACGGGGAGGAGAGAGACACGGGGAGGAAAAGAGACACGGGGAGGAGAGAGACACGGGGAGAGAGAGAGAGACACGGGGAGAGAGAGAGACACGGGGAGGAACAGAGACACGGGGAGGAGAGAGACACGGGGAGGGAGAGAGACACGGGGAGGAAGAGAGACACGGGGAGGAGAGAGACACGGGGAGAGAGAGACACGGGGAGAGAGAGACGCGGGGAGTAGAGACACAGGGAGAGAGAGAGACACGGGGAAGAGGAGAGAGACACACGGGGAGAGAGACACGGGGAGGAGAGAGACACACGGGGAGAGAGAGACACGGGGAGAGAGAGAGACACGGGGAGAGAGAGAGACACGGGGAGTAGAGACACAGGGAGAGAGAGAGACACGGGGAAGAGGAGAGAGACACACGGGGAGAGACACACGGGGAGAGAGACACGGAGAGAGAGAGAGACACGGGGAGAGAGAGAGAGAGACATAGGGAGGAGAGACACGGGCAGGAGTATGAGACAATCCAAACTAAAACCATGTCGCCACTGATCTCTTTATGAGAAGCGACACGGCCATCACACATAACGATAGCAGCTCAACCACGTGGCCGATATCGTCATCATCATCATCATCACCGCGTGGGAATTTAGTGAGCAGCAAAGCAGTCGGAATGTGCGCCGTCGATTCTAAACGTGGAGGGGGGAAAAAAAGTGAAGGCCGGGGATAAAAATCCACGCAGTGACCACCACGGGGGAGAGAGAGAGAGAGAAATCAGCTGGTTGTAACTACAGGCAAAACGTCGCACTCAGATTGTACATGTTTGGGTTTGGTTCTTCAACACACCGGTGTGCTGTACTACTATACATTACACTACTATACATTACACTACTATACATTACACTACTATACATTACACTACTAAACACTACGCTAATATACACTACACCACTATACACTACACCAATATACACTACACCACTATACACTACACCAATATACACTACACCACTATACATTACACTACTATACATTACACTACTATACATTACACTACTAAACACTACGCTAATATACACTACACCACTATACACTACACCACTATACACTACACCACTATACACTACACCAATATACATTACACTACTAAACACTACGCTAATATACACTACTCCACTATACACTACACCACTATACATTACACTACTAAACAATACACTAATATACACTACACCACTATACATTACACTACTAAACACTACGCTAATATACACTACACCACTATACATTACACTACTATACATTACACTACTAAACACTACACTAATATACACTACACCACTACACCACTATACATTACACTACTAAACACTACGCTAATATACACTACACTACTATACATTACACTACTAAACACTACGCTAATATACATTACACTACTATACATTACACTACTAAACACTACGCTAATATACACTACACCACTATACACTACTCCACTATACACTACACCACTACACCACTATACATTACACTACTAAACAATACACTAATATACATTACACTACTATACATTACACTACTAAACACTACGCTAATATACACTACACCACTATACACTACACCACTATACACTACACCACTATACACTACACCAATATACACTACACTAGTATACACTACACTAATATACACTACGCTACTATACACTACGCTACTATACACTACACCACTATACACTACACTAATATACACTACACCACTATACATTACACTACTAAACACTACGCTAATATACACTACACTACTATACACTACACTAATATACACTACACCAATATACACTACACTAATATACACTACACTACTATACATTACACCACTATACACTACACCACTATACACTACACCACTATACACTACACTAATATACACTACACCAATATACACTACACCACTATACACTACACTAATATACACTACACCAATATACACTACACCACTATACACTACACCACTATACACTACACCACTATACACTACACCAATATACACTACACTAATATGCACTACACCACTATACACTACACTAATATACACTACACCACTATACACTACACCACTATACACTACACCACTATACATTACACCAATATACACTACACCAATATACACTACACCACTATACATTACACCAATATACACTACACCAATATACACTACACTACTATACACTACACTACTATACACTACACCACTATACACTACACCACTATACACTACACCACTATACACTACACCACTATACACTACACCACTATACACTACACCAGGCGAGGGAGTCAACACTTGCAAACTTCTGAACCCCATTAAAACTTACACGTCGCACGATCGCTCAATATTCGTTATCAGTGTCTCTATATGTCTCTCTCTCTCTCCCTCCCTCCTCTCTCTCCTCTCCCACCCCCCTCTCTCTCCCCTACTGTGTGAGCTACCCCTCTCTATCATTCTGTCTCAGCCACCAGAAGTCACGCACGGTCACAAAGAGTACATCACTCGGACACTCACTCACTCATACACACAGTGCATCACTCAGACACTCACTCATACACACAGTGCATCACTTAGACACTCACTCATACACACAGTGCATCACTCAGACACTCACTCACTCATACACACAGTGCATCACTCAGACACTCACTCACTCACTCATACACACAGTGCATCACTTAGACACTCACTCATACACACAGTGCATCAATCAGACACTCACTCACTCATACACACAGTGCATCACTTAGACACTCACTCACTCATACACACAGTGCATCACTCAGACACTCACTCATACACACAGTGCATCACTTAGACACTCACTCATACACACAGTGCATCACTTAGACACTCACTCACTCACTCATACACACAGTGCATCACTTAGACACTCACTCACTCATACACACAGTGCATCACTCAGACACTCACTCACTTATATACACAGTGCATCACTTAGACAATCACTCAGACACTCACTCACTCCTACACACAGTGCATCACTCAGACACTCACTCATACACAAAGTGTGTACACACAGTGTACAAACACAGTGTACATTCAGTGCACACATAATGTACACACACACAGTGCACACACACACACACAGTGTACACACACATCACGTATGATACACCCATAAATTACATAACCACACAATTAACATTGAGGGCAGTCTCTTGATCAAGGTGTATACACTGCACATAAAATACACGAGCTTCACTACCACCCGGTTTCTTCGCCCGGGGACTTGGATTCGTGTCTTGGTTTAATAGACCGCCTACGCGGAGGGTTGGAGGAGGGGGGGTGACGTCACCAGGCACACTGCGTGACGCTGCCGCATGCGGGTGACATCACAGATGTGACATCACAGATGTGACATCACAGATGTGACATCACAGATGTGACATCACAGATGTGACATCACAGATGTGACATCACAGATGTGACATCACAGATGTGACATCACAGATGTGACATCACAGATGTGACATCACAGATGTGACATCACAGATGTGACATCACAGATGTGACGTCACCGCTCACTTGCCGTGCAAAATATAGCCATTATTGCCCCCCACCCCCCGCCCCCCAAATTACAAAAGTATATTTTTATACTTTTTGCATTGTGTACAGTCTGGAAGCTACCCACGTGCCAAATTTCAAGTTTGTTGCATGTCGGGAAGTATGCTAAACATTTTCGAACAGACACACAATCACAAATGTCCCTTTGATATATATAGAAGAATAACATTAGCTAAATTTTTCCTGGTTCTTTCGATAACGTCACATAGAAGGGAAACAATAGAATATTAAAAAATATAAAACAATAATTTTATTGTTTTATATTTTTATTATTGTTGAAAATATAAAACAATAATTTATTGCTTTATATTCATATTATTATTTTATTGTTTCCCTTCCCACAATGTCACCTCTTGGATCAACCCAGCACCAGAGATGTTGATAGGCAACAACATAAATTATGTTAATTGGAACCCACGAAAATTATATGAATTGAAAACAGGATAAATTATGTTAATTGACCACGCCATAAATTATGTTATTTTTTTATGTTGTGATTAATTTAATTTATAGTCACTACAATTAAGTAACTTGATAGTTAATTTAATTTATAGTCACTATAATTAAGTAACTTTATAGTGACAGCATACGCTATGTTAATTGTCGGTCATTACATCAAATTATGTAAATCTCTGGTTACCGCAGTGATTATGTTAAACACAACTTATTAAACACATAACTGTTGATTCGTAAATCGTAACAATTTAAATGCCCAATACATTTAAATCCGCTAGCCCAGCAACAGTGCAATGCTTATGGTTGTACGTTACTATACGTGTACAGTTGCACGTTACAACACCTACATATTTACGCGTTACATCTATAAAGTTACACGCTGCATCTACGCACATTCTCCTGCGGAGGGAGCTGGTAGGAACGGTGGGTGGCCAGGGCCAACGGGCGGCACCACCACGTGGTGGTGTATTCCGCAAAGATGCCCGACTGTGAGGGCGGGGCGACAAGCCGGCGTGAGAAGGGTTAAACGTTGAGATTTATAAGGGCACCACGGGGTGACCAGACCCTCTCCACCCAGCCCCTCCCCACCCACCCCTCCCATTTGTGGACGCACGACGGACGGACGGACACAATAATCCCCGGTGGGCTGGTGTAACCAGGAGGTTCCAATAGTCACATGTTACAATGCAGTGCGCGCCTACATACTCAACAAAAAAAAATCGCAAATGTTGTGGATTCACTCTTCAACAGACCGGTGGGCTAAAGCAGTTAACTATTTTGTCTTTTGTCAACGTGACACAGATTTTGTTTTTTTTTTACTGATTGGCCGTGTCGGGTGGTGCAGGGTTACATGACACATTGATAAATAACGCGATCTAACCCCCCCAAAAAAAACGTTTATTATTTTAAGTGCCCTACATAGTCACACACTAAACACACCTACATAGGTCTACGTTACAAGACGTGAAGAACACGGGTGCACATTACGTTACATGTGTAGCCACATGTGATGTACGTGTAAAAGTTCAAGGCCCGTAGCCATGGAGTAAACATTGCCTGAAATATATATAAAAAAATTCACTAACACGTGGGATGGAGTAATACGGTTTTACCCTTTTAACTGGCACAAAAACTGACACCTTTATTCAAGGCATCATGTTTGCAATAACCACAACACAAGCAGTCAAAATGCAAACAAAAAGAGACAACTCTGATAATAATATTGGCACTGTCCTTGAATTTGATTGGTCCACACCCGAGACGGCTTTTCTTAGAGCCCTTTAGTCTCACACTGGTGTTGGACCAGAAGACGCCAAAAGGCGTACAACTCAAAAACAGCGCACTATCAGATTATTGAGGGCTCGGGGTGAGCATTAACATTATGAGACCTCCTTTGCCAGAAACAAGATTTAGTAATAGGTTTTTACCCTTTTAACTGGCACAAAAACTGACACCTTTATTCAAGGCATCATGTTTGCAATAACCACAACACAAGCAGTCAAAATGCAAACAAAAAAGAGACAACTCTGATAATAATATCGGCACTGTCCTTGAATTTGATTGGTCCACAGCCGAGACAGCTTTTCTTAGAGCCCTTTAGTCTCCATTGGTGTTGGACCAGAAGACGCCAAAAGGTGTACAACTCAAATACAGCGCACCATCAGAGTATTGAGGGCTCGGGGTGAGCATTAACATTATGAAAAGCTGTCTCGGGTGTGGACCAATCAAATTCAAGGACAGTGCCAATATTATTATCAGAGTTGTCTTTTTTGTTTGCATTTTGACTGCTTGTGTTGTGGTTATTGCAAACATGATGCCTTGAATAAAGGTGTCAGTTTTTGTGCCAGTTAAAAGGGTAAAACCTATTACTAAATCTTGTTTCTGGCAAAGGAGGTCTCATAATGTTAATGCTCACCCCGAGCCCTCAATACTTTGATAGTGGCGCTGTTTTTGAGTTGTACGCCTTTTGGCGTCTTCTGGTCCAACACCAGTGGAGACTAAAGGGCTCTAAGAAAAGCTGTCTCGGGTGTGGACCAATCAAATTCAAGGACAGTGCCAATATTATTATCAGAGTTGTCTCTTTTTGTTTGCATTTTGATTGCTTGTGTTGTGGTCATTGCAAACATGATGCCTTGAATAAAGGTGTCAGTTTTTTGCGCCAGTTAAAAGGGTAAAAACCTATTACTAAATCTTGTTACTGGCAAAGGAGGTCTCATAACGTGGGATGGACTTTTTATTTTATATATTTTACAATAATGTCTAAGAGCGGTATTGTATTTGCATTGCTGGTTTTTTTTTACCATTTCTTGGTTGCTTTGTACATGTAATGTTTGAGATTGGGGATGAACAAAGTGCAACCATAACCACCAGCATGCAAACCAAATAAATCTATGCATTGATTTATATGAAGACACGTCCAGATATTGTGGCCAAGGTTTTAGCAAATTGTTGATTTTTTTGTATTTACATAGCATAGCAATCATTATTACTTTTATATAGCAATATTTTTTTGGGGGGGGCATTTTGAGCATATTTGAATATGGGGGGGGGGGGGGGCCTTGGTATAGTTACAATACCGTGTGTAGCTACAAGTGACAGAATGCTTACACAGCTACACATTACAATAGCTGTAACGTGACACATTACTATACTAGTGTCGTTGCAAGTGTACAATACGTGTACGGTTACTATATATTGCCATATGTATAGTTTACACATTGCTATACGTGTATAGTACCACGTTACTATACGTACATAGTTACTATGTTAACTAACCACGTGTTCAATAGGCTAAGTACAAACACCACCACCTGAACTTTGGCAACGGCACTGCCATCGATTTGTCAAGAACACGTCAGCACTCGGCAACAGACGAAGCCACCACGTGCTGGTGGTGGTCTCATTGTACTGAGTGGTGTAGGCCGTGTAGTGGTGGTGTGTGGTGTGGTGTAGTGTGGTGTAGTGGTGGTGTGTGGTGTGGTGTAGTGTGGTGTAGTGGTGGTGTAGTGGTGGTGTGTGGTGTAGTGGTGGTGTGTGGTGGTGTAGTGGTGGTCTGTGGTGTAGTGGTGGTGTGTGGTGTAGTGTGGTGTTGTGTAGTGGTGGTGTGTGGGGTAGTGGTGGTGTGTGGTGTAGTGTGGTGTGTGGTGTAGTGGTGTGTGGTGTAGTGGTGGTGTGTGGTGTAGTGGTGGTGTGTGGTGTAGTGGTGGTGTGTGGTGTAGTGGTGGTGTGTGGTGTAGTGGTGTTGTGGTGTAGTGGTGGTGTGTGGTGTAGTGGTGGTGTGGTGTAGTGGTGGTGTGTGGTGTGGTGGTGAGTGGTGTGTGGTGTAGTGGTGGTGGTGTGTGGTGTAGTGGTGGTGTGGTGTGGTGTAGTGGTGGTGTGTGGTGTAGTGGTGTGTGGTGTGGTGGTGGTGTTGTGTAGTGGTGGTGTGGTGTAGTGGTGGTGTGGTGTAGTGGTGGTGTGGTGTGGTGTAGTGGTGGTGTGTGGTGTAGTGGTGGTGTGTGGTGTAGTGGTGGTGTGTGGTGGTGTAGTGGTGGTCTGTGGTGTAGTGGTGGTGTGTGGTGTAGTGTGGTGTTGTGTAGTGGTGGTGTGTGGTGTAGTGGTGGTGTGTGGTGGTGTAGTGGTGGTGTGTGGGGTAGTGGTGGTGTGTGGTGTAGTGTGGTGTTGTGTAGTGGTGGTGTGGTGTGGTGTAGTGGTGGTGTGGTGTGGTGTAGTGGTGGTGTGTGGTGTAGTGGTGGTGTGTGGTGTAGTGGTGGTGTGTGGTGGTGTAGTGGTGGTCTGTGGTGTAGTGGTGGTGTGTGGTGTAGTGTGGTGTTGTGTAGTGGTGGTGTGTGGTGTAGTGGTGGTGTGTGGTGGTGTAGTGGTGGTGTGTGGTGTGGTGGTGTGTGGTGTAGTGTGGTGTTGTGTAGTGGTGGTGTGGTGTGGTGTAGTGGTGGTGTGTGGTGTAGTGGTGGTGTGTGGTGTAGTGGTGGTGTGTGGTGTAGTGGTATGTGGTGTGGTGGTGTTGTGTAGTGGTGTGTGGTGTGGTGGTGGTGTTGTGTAGTGGTGGTGTGTGGTGTGGTGGTGAGTGGTGTGTTGTGTAGTGGTGGTGGTGTGTGGTGTGGTGGTGGTGTGGTGTAGTGGTGGTGTGTGTGGTGTAGTGTAGTGGTGGTGTGTAGTGGTGTGTGGTGTAGTGATGTGTAGTGATGTGGTGTAGTGGTGTGTGGTGGTGTAGTGGTGGTGTGTGGTGCAGTGGTGGTGTAGTGGTGGTGTAGTGGTGGTGTGTGGTGTAGTGGTGTGGTGGTGTGTAGGGTGTATTGGTGTTGAGGTGTGTTGTGTATTGGTGGGGTGTGGCAGTGTATATAGTGTGTGTGTATAGTGTGTGTGTAGTGTGTGTGTGTATAGTGTGTGTATATAGTGTGTGTATATAGTGTGTGTGTATAGTGTGTGGTGTATAGTGTGTGGTAGTGTAAAGTGTGTGTGTGGTAGTGTATAGTGTGTGGTAGTGTGTGTGTGGTAGTGTATAGTGTGTGTGGTAGTGTGTGTGTGGTAGTGTATAGTGTGTAGTAGTGTGTGTGTGGTAGTGTATAGTGTGTGGTAGTGAGTGGGAGTGTGTGGTAGTGTATAGTGTGTGTGGTAGTGTGTGTGTGGTAGTGTATAGTGTGTAGTACTGTGTGGTGTATAGTGTGTGTGGTAGTGTATAGTGTCTAGTGTATGTATGGTGGTGGTATTTGTGGTGTAATTTACCTCAGGGACGGCATGGTTGGCTGACTTGGTAACGAGGGGGTGGGTGTGGTAACGACGACGATGATGATGATGATGAGGTGGTGGTGGTGGGGGTGTGACTGGGTGAAGGTTTATTATTCTGTTGCGTGTAGGAGGGGGTCGTAATAAACCGTAAATATTTTTTTTTACCTCTTTAAAAATCGCAAAGGGTAGTTTTACCTCAAAGATGATATCAGATTTTAAAAATTACGTAAAATAAAATTTTGGCGGGAAAAATGTTAACCGATTTTGTGTTTGGTTTGTTTTAAGAAATGGGTGCTCGGGATTTGAATAACGGGGATGTCTCTGCTTGGGCTCTACCGCCAACAACAACCACCCACCACCACCACCACCACAACCAATCACCCAACAACAACAACCACCACCACTAATCACCAACCACCACCAATCACCAACCACCACCAATCACCAACCACCACTAATCACCCACAATCACCACCACCACCACCACCACAACCACCACCCACTGCTACCACCACAACCACCCACTGCTACCACCACAACCACCCACTGCTACCACCACAACCACCACCACAATCACCAATCACCACCACAATCACCAATCACCACCACAATCACCCACCACAATCACCCACTGACTGCCACCACCACCACCACCACCGTCTCGTGGCGCGCGCTCGCACGACAGGGACCGTGGCACGAGCCGCCGTGGCTCCCCATTAAAGACCGCGGGGGGCGGGGTAGGAAATAAAGCCCCGCCCCCCTGCCACGCGCCCCCGCCCCGCTCTAGTCGGTCGACTCCTCCCCCTTTCTTTAATTAAAGACCGCGCGATGGTATAGGGCAATAGAAGCCCCGCCCCACTACCACCCCGCGGCCCCGCCCCCAACCGTCTACTCCTCCCCCCCCCCCAGGAAGGAAGGCCCACCCACACTTTCGGCCCACCCACGCTCGGGACCACGCCGCCGCCCCCCCTCCTCCCTCAGAATATTTAAATTTTAGGCACGAGACCACACCTCCAAATAAGGAGCGAGACCACGCCCCCGCCACCCGACGTTCACGTCAACGGGGCCGGCGAGACCACTCCCACACACCCCCATTGGGCCACGCCCCCACATTACTCGAGCCACGCCCCCTCCGCATCTCCTTATAATGAGCGAGACCACAACACCACCCCTCCCCCATATTTTAATTGGGGGAGGGGGGAGCCTCATAGCGCATGCGCAGTGAGGCCACGCCCACAATCTCAATTTGAATAATTGTCCACGCCCACACAATTGAAAATTGCGATTGGTAATTTTGGATTCGTAGCTTGTGGTCTTCAGTTCGATGTTAATGTTTCAATTGTAGACCTGGGCGTCTGCTGGACATCTGTGACCAAAGATCATAAGCTCATCCGGTTTCCACCTGCTGCCGAGTCTGATAAAGATTCTGACTATAATGTAAACCACGCCCACTCACGGCCAAGCCACGCCCATCGCACATCATGCCACGCCCACAGCCGTCCACATTGCAAAGGCGATGGGAGATCAAGCCACACCCACTCAACGTGAAACCACGCCCACCGCGCGCAACGACCTCGTTTGATTGGACGGCAGCTTGAGGGTTGGTGCATAAATTAGCCACGCCCAACGGCCCAGGTGGCATTTTGATTGGACAGAACAGCAGGCCGCCACGCCCACAACGGTCACGCCCACTCCAATAACCCCCCCCCTTGCCGCTCAAGCCACACCCCTACGCCTCAGGCCAATCACCCACTCACTCATCCACCCCACTCACTCACTCATCCACCCCACTCACTCACTCATCCACCCCACTCACTCACTCATCCACCCCCACTCACTCACTCATCCACCCCACTCACTCACTCATCCACCCCACTCACTCACTCATCCACCCCACTCACTCACTCATCCACCCACGCACCCATCCATCCACCCACCCACTCACCCCATCCACCCACCCACTTACCCATCCACCCACCCACTCACCCCATCCACCCACCCACTCACCCATCCACCCACCCACTCACCCATCCACCCACCCACTCACCCACCCACCCACCCACTCACCCACCCACCCACTCACCCACCCACCCACCCACTCACCCACCCACCCACCCACTCACCCACCCACCCACCCACTCACCCATCCACTCACCCACCCACCCACTCACCCACCCAGCCACCCATCCACCCACCCAGCCACCCACCCCACCCACCCAGCCACCCATCCACCCACCCAGCCACCGACTCATTCACCCAGCCACCGACTCATTCACCTATCCATCCACCCACCCACCCAGCCACCCACCCACCCAGCCACCCACCCACCCACCCAGCCACCCACCCACCCACCCAGCCACCCACCCACTCACCCAGCCACCCACCCACTCACCCAGCCACCGACTCATTCACCCAGCCACCGACTCATTCACCTATCCATCCACCCATTCACTCACCTGCTCACTCAGCAACCCCCTCACTTACTCATCCACCTACCCACCCACTCTCTCAGCTACTCACTCACCCAATCACTCACCCAAACATCCAACCACTCACTCACTCAGCCACCCATCCACTCACTCACCCATCCATCCACTCGCCCACTCATCCACCCCACTCACCCAGCCATACACAAATTCACCCACCCATCCACCCACTCAACTCCCCACTCACACACTCGCTTATAAACCCACCGACTTATCCACCCACTAACTCATCCATCTACCCACTCACTCACCCACTCACTGATACACCTACCCAGTCACGTGCTCACCCACCCCACCCGTGCCACCACTGCTCCACCAGGACTGCTGTGGGGGGGGGGGGCCTGGCCGTGCCGAGGGGTTTGGGGTTGACTCTTCTGTCAACAGACAGAGACACAGAGAGAGGGGCAGAGAGACACAGAGAGAGGGGCAGAGAGACACAGAGAGAGGGGCAGAGAGACACAGAGAGAGGGGCAGAGAGACACAGAGAGAGGAGCAGAGGGACACAGAGAGAGGGGCAGAGAGACACAGAGAGAGAGGCAGAGAGACACAGAGAGAGAGGCAGAGAGACACAGAGAGAGGGGCAGAGAGACACAGAGAGAGGGGCAGAGAGA